TAAGTCAACTAACAAAATGATGCTGATATGTTTTTCTTGAATGTAACACTTGCATTCAACAAAGTTTTGAAATAAAATTTTAAAAGGTCTCGGAGTTTGAAGACATTGCTTCATGAACCGACAACGAATCTATTTTACTGCTTCGTACGTGTGATAAGTTTGCTTTAAATACGTCAGTTCTTTATGCGACCATAAAACAAAATGTTCTGCGAATAATGCTATCTCGTTGTTAGGGAAAGCCATAAATCGTGGCTATACTTGAAGCCAAACTTAAACTCGTTCAAGTTTAAGAATAGATGGTATAATTTTGTTATAAAATAGCGGTCTGACAAGTAGAGTGGCATTGAGTGAGTAAATTAAACAATCGCTTTTGCTCAAAGGTCTACTAAAATTATTATCAATGTGGCATAAGAGTCCAACGAATATTAATAAGCACTGAAATTACAATGCATATTACAAATGTGCGGGAGCAGCTACAGTAATCCCGATTGTTCGGTATCCGATATTTAATAATATTTGGTTATTCGGACCTAAAGTTTACAGTTTTTCTCATCTATTATGTTTAAAGAAAACGGAACCCGATCTTAGATAATTCGCTAAATTACTAAATTCAACATTAAATTACGCTCAGCTTCTAACTGAAGCAACATGTAATGAAGGATGAAGAGTCTTTTAGCTCATATTTAATCTGGTACCAAGGATAATGCGCTTCGGTTGTTATTGAAATGAACTTGCTTGAAGGATGCTCTAGGCATATTATACAGGGTGCCCGGCAAAGGTGCTACCAACATTTAACAAGAAAAAATGAGTGTGACAAGTTCCTATAGCACTTTTGCGAAAACTTAATAATAACGGATATACAGGGCGTTAAATTTAGATTAAAAAAATATGTTTTTAATTAACTTTTTTGTTGATTATCTAATTGTTTTGAAATTTGGCACACTTTTATTACTCATGATCAAAAGTATTATTTTTCGAAAGCTGAGATTCAACCGCCGTTAATGCGAAAAGGTTGAAATCTATATATGTCACCTACTTAATAACCTATACATTTTTTTAATTTCCACTTTTAGTTATGTCTGATTTCAAAAAAAATAAAAAAAACCGAATTAAAGAGCGTTCAAAACTACGTAAAAAGGGTTTACTTGTCAACTCTCTAAAATCATCAAAAGCTGTTATCGAGAAAATGTTCTTTTAAAATTGTGTTGCACGGCGTAAGCACGTCAAATTATTTCCAACGTTTTAACAGAGCGGGTCGTGGAAACAAGTGCACTTACAATTAATTATTATTTATTAAATATTTAATAAGGTAATAAGTATTATTAGATTTTGTTATACAGTTTGTAAAGGTTTATAGCATATTTTTAAAGTGTCCATTCTCCTCAATGCACAAATTAAGCCTTCTCAAAAAACTGCGACAAGTCCTATACAATATTCAATCCTTTTGTATAATTTATTCACACTTGTCAATAATGATCTGCCTCACTTCGGGAGGGATGCGTACTAGAGTGCGCTATACTAATTTTTTACATACCCACAAAAAAAATCCATGGGATTTAAGTCAGGAGATCTGGGAGCCCACTCTACAAACCCACCACGTCCTATCACTACAGCTGCGCCATAATGTGGAGGAGCTCCATCTTGTAATAACCACATTGAAATTCTACCTTGAAGGGGCACATCTTCCAAAAGTATAGGCAATTGATTTCTTAAGAAATCCAAGCATGTCTCACTATTGAGTGTAGGTGGCAAAAAATACGACTCAATTAAATAGTCTCCTACTATACCAGTCCAGACATTAACAGAAAACTTTTTTACTATATATGTATAGTCGACAAAGCATTAACATTTATTTTTACGCTTTACAATATGTCACAATTGTTTGTACAGATGCCTGTGTTGTTATAGAAAACCACAGCAATTTTTTCCCTGCCACGCTCTGCTAAAACGTTGAAAATAATTTGAGGTACTTACACCGTGTAACACAATTTTAAAAGTAGATTTTCTCGAAAACTGCTTATTTTAGAGAGATGTGACAAGTAAACCTTTATTAAGAAATTTTAAGAGCTCTTACACAACAAAAGGCGGAAAATAAAAAAGTATAGGTTATTAAGTAGATGACATGAGTGAGTTCAACTTTTTTCCATAATCGGATAAATGTCAACTTTTGAACAATAATACAAATTATCATAAGTATTAAGTGTACCAAATTAGGAAACAGTCAGAGGATATCAAGAAAAAAATTAAAAAAAAAAAAATATTTTTAAAATCTAACTCTATAACGCTGTAGCGTTGCCTAACATAATACAACAGTTGACTATCGATCACATGACATTGTAATCATTCTTGCCACGGCAGCAATAAATAATATTGCTGACAGTTTTAATGTAAGAGAGCTCGGTGCTTAATTCACATAAAGTAGAGGTAAACGAAAATGTATACATGAGTATGTAGATCGCTGTAGAGTTGCCTGGTTAATTGTTGGTAGCACCTTTTCCGGAAACCTTGTATAATGCTCGGGAAAAGTATCCTATGAAGGTCTGGAAAAGTAGTCTCAAAATATTATGATTCGTATAGCGAACGAGTCAAACATGGACTATGAAGCTGAGCATCTGATATCTTGTAATCAATTGTCGTTAAGTTTATTTTGTTGACTGAAGAAAGGTTGACATGTTTTCACGGGGCATAGTTTTGCGGATGTGGCCGCTTGTAATTGATTGAAAACATTAAATATTTGTTACTACGGAGAACACCTTTATAAAATGTAGGTTCCTGGTTGGAACAAAAGTGAATATTATGCATGCTGTTCTGAAGGTATAGCGACACTTCACGACAATACGCTAAAATTAACTAACATTAATATAGCAAATATGACCAAACTAGACAACATATTTTGGGCACTGGCGTAGTGATTCTTAATTGTTTTTATTCCCAACACAGTTACTCGATTGGTAAAAGTAAACCGAACGATCTTACAGAAACATATTTTAAATATTCCTATTTTAAACGTAATGTTTATCTATTGATTGGTATTCATGAGATATTTTACGAGACCGGCGTCAGCAGCGGTTTTATCTTGCCAGAGCGATAACGAAATCCCCCGCCGTGACTATCTCCAGTCGCAAAGATCTCCACTTTCTCAAGGCATAATGCCAGATTTATTTACTCAGCACAAATAAAATCCAGGTCAGCTTTTACTTTGCCTTTATTTACGCCGTTTGTTGGAGATTTTAAGGTCATGAGCATTCCCAAATTATATTTGTGTTCAATCTGATTAGGCAAGGGGATGGAGCTTGAGGGTATTAGCGGATTTAAAGTTGTGGTGGAAAGGTTTATTCTGGGGAGCCAGAGTTTTTATGGAAACATGAAACCTTCTGCACAATGCAAAGATTATTTCAGGACTTGGCTAATTGTGCTTAAAACGCAGCCCATAATATAATATTAATTTACGGGTAGTAATGCAATTATGCTTTTTCTTCAAATTTTATGTTGCTGTCACTGCCGCAATGTTTTTAGTAGTAGTATTAAGGAGCTTTATTCGTTCTACGATAGGGCCTCGCGCCCTTAGTCGGTCTTTCTGCACAAAGTCAAATGTTTCTGCCGAATGCTAAATGCCAAGACATTGTTTTTATTTTACTTATAAACTCAACTAAGTTATTGCATCCGCATAGGGCACTCTAATACATTGGTCTTTTAGCTTCGCACAATTAATCTTTGCTGATGCTCCAACACTGAAATGTCCAACCAAAGGTGCAAGAGATTAATTATTTTTCTAAAACCACCTAATTTTATTTTCCCAGTGAAATAGCCGAGCATTGAAATGCGCAGGCAGTGCTTAGAAACGCAACAACACGTTCTCAGATATCCCACTACCTTTGAAAATATCCGCTGTAGATGGTAAGCAGCCGTTAAATATAACCATCTGGATGCGAATACAATTCGATAAAGATTTAAGGGTAAGCATGCCCATGTTGTTCAATATATCCTTCAAATTATATTGTATTGAAGATAGAGTAGAATTAAGGTTAGTAGAATACTAGAACTTACCCCGAAGTAATAAAATTGCTGATATATTGAATGAGGGTCCTAGAGGCAGCAACATCGGGAAAGCTGTAATTGTGTGGAAAAAATGGTCCTCCACCAATTAATGGTAAGCCTAGAATGTAAGGTAAGTCTTCTCCTCTCACACTTCCTAATCTCTGAAAAAGAAACACATAAATTTAGAACCTTGAACATTGCAGAGCTCTAACAAATTTATCTTTCGAAAATTATTGTCAATATACTGTGTGGTTTACTTCTGAACATAAAATGTTAATAAATTTACGTAGCATTTTATACTAATTTCAAGATAGTTGCCAATAAAATGTTATGTGAATCCCTAAATAGCGTTTTCTTAATTATTTGCTTCTCATCTATCATAGACAGTCTCAGAAGCAAATTCAATAATGTTCGTTAGATGCTCAAACTATTTCCAAGCTTATTCCATCCGAAGAGATGCTGACTTGAAATATTCAAACATTTTTTCTCCTAAGTTTGGATTGAGCTCAAAACAGAGCATTTTTGAGGACAGTGGCATAAACCCTAGTGATTTGCTCAAAACCGTATCTGCTCAGGTACTCTGTACAAATTGGAAAATGTGTTGAAACTTTTGCGAAATGTGTAGGAGCGCTAAATATTTAAAGCTTAGAAGTTTTCGTTCGCCTTTGCGCTATAAAGGCAGTACAGTAAACTTATTGCTTTTGCCTTATACGCAAGCAATATGACCTGCACAATACACGCACCGATACTCTTGAGCAATATTAGTGCAAATGTGTTTTGTTAGAAAGATGCAACTGTCAATACATATTTTATATAACTGTTTCATTATCATCGATTACGTTATGAATAGCTTCAGAAAAAATAGTTTAATTTATTAGGCAAGCTTATTAAGCAATTATGCGCTTAATATTTTTTATCACATAGAGTTCTGTTTACAATCTTCTAAAAAGTAGCATATTCCGCATCAAATCTACGAGTTTATCAACAAAGCTCAAAACCTTTAATTCCTTCACTATTCATGAATTTTCGTTTATCTCTACTTTATGTGAATAAGCACCGAGCTCTCTGCATTAAAACTGTTAGCAATATTATTTATTGCTGCCGTGGCAAGAATGGTTACATTGTGATGTGATCGATAGTCAACTGTTGTATTACTATATCATTTTTATTGCATTACATATCCAATATTCGTAACATGTGTCGATTGTCCCCAAGCACTAATTAAGGCAAATCGCTAACTCTGAACAGTGTGACATACATTTTTGTTGTAAACCTAATATTTCAAGATTAGTCCAACCAATTTGTCGTGACGATACTTGACCTAATGTCGGATAAAGCAAAAATATAAGTAAGACCTAAAAATAATTTCCATGGCCGGAAACGTCATGAGGAAATAGGGTGTTTTACACTTTTTGCTATAAAGTCAATCATAGCTTTTAGCTCGTAAAAAAGCGTCGTCGAATTTGACGAAAAAATCCATTAAATTCTAAAAAAACGTGATTTTTGGTGCTAAAATGACAGTTATTTTATTTTGTTGTTAAACTCTCCAGGATTTGTAAATAATTTTTATTCCAATCAAGTATTTACAAATAAAACTGACAATTATCAAATTCTTTTTCGGTACAATATCGGCATGCTCCAGAAAATTACAATTTCTTTCTGTTTTCTGGTGTGAGAAAAATTCCCTATGAAATTTGAATCATGCTAAATATTACTTCATAATATATAACATATAAATAAACCAAAAAAAATAAACAATTGCTAGTAACAACTCTTAAAAACTAATAAACTTAAACATGGCACATATCAACTTTTATAATTAATTATTTTTTGTTCATTTGTTCACATTTGTTCTGTAGTAAATGTATGGAAATCAGGATTTTGCCGGATTACATTTATCGGAAGGTAGCATAGTATTTAATAGTTCTTACGAGCAATTGCATAACTACAATAAGATTTTCTAAAGTAATATTTAGCGTAACTAAAATTTCAGCGTAAATTTTTTTTCTGAATAGATAAATGAGAAAATGCGTAATTTCCTGGGGCCTTCCGCAATTGTATCAGAAAATATTTTGATATTCATTAGTTTTACTTATAAATACTTGATTGGGAATAAATATGATATATGAATACTGAAGAGTTTAACAACAAAATAAAATAATTGTCAACAATCACGTTTTTCAAAATTTAATCAATTTTTCTTCAAAATCACAATCTGAATACCTACGCTTTTTTGCTTAGATTTGATTAAAATAGATAACCAACATTTTTACGAAAAAAAATCGCTTGTTATAAAGTTATGATCTTTATAGCAAAAAGTGTAAAATACCCTATTTCCTCATGAATGTACGGGCTGTGGAAATTATTTTTAGGTCTTACTTATAATTTCCCTTTATTCCACATTACGTCAAGTATCTGGCCAAATTTCATCAAAATCTGTTTGCCAGTCTTGAGATACTGATTAGGTTGATCAACAAGAATTTTGTTTCGCACTGTGTGCCGTTGCTCATTGTGTCTTCATGCAGTTCACAAAGAACGCCACCAAACAGTATGTCAGAATATATGGATATGAAATAAAAATGGAAACAAAACGCTGTCCTTACACCTTACTGTATTCTAATTTCTTATGATGTCAGGTCTTTGACTTTTACGGACCCTCTTTTAAGTAAATATGTATACATAGATGTAGATGTAGGTGCTCAATTATAAAAATATATTCCGCTCAGTTCTTAGAATCAAATGAGTTATCTGATATATGCATGAAAATCAGAAGGCAGGTCTCGCGTGCTTTGAATTTACACTTAACAAAGGATTCTTTGTTTCCGAAAAAACCACCTCGTATTGAAACTTTCACAAATTACTTTATTCTGAAAATATACACATTTGGCTAATGGTGCTGTTTTCAACGCACTTTTGTCGTTTTCGTATGAGGGTCAAAATTGACTAAAATGTGTACATCGTTATACAGTATTTAACTCTAAACAGAGTAACAAAAGGCTTGACAAGAAGACAAAAAAATCGCCCCCAATTCTCCTTAAAGCGTTGAATTTCCCTTCTGATTTCGTTGTTATTGCTGGATAAAAAGGCACATTCGTTACTTAGAAATTTTTCCCATTACTGAGCTTTATGCTACACTTTTCTTATTTCTTTCCCGGAGACATTTGTTAGGTTTCCTCTCCATTTTGTCTTTATAGATATAGCAGCTACTTTAACTTTTTTGTAGGTTCATTCTTTTGTAAGAGAGTCTATCTCAGTGGTTCCCAAACTCATTTGCCCCACGGACACCCTTTCATAGTCAAAACTTTCTTACCGACTGTGGGTAAAAAACTGCCAAACTGCATAATAGCAAAATTCAAAAATTTACTTTGATGTCTGGTAAATGGTGACGCAAACATTAAATATGTATAACCAAAACATGTTGTTTAAAAAGTATTTATTGAAACTATAAATTTTATTTTAACACAAAAATATTTAATGACTTGTCTGAACCTGACGAGATGTTATCAATGTATTTATGTCCGGCTCAATTTTTGTGAGTAGCAACCGCAAATTCCCAAGAGTAATAATATCTAGTCGGTTTCTCTCTTTTTGACGAACGGCACTGATTCCAGGTTCTACACAATAGGAAGACAGAAAATCAATTAAAAACTTCTGTTCAATAACCCATAAGTCTTCACAAACAGCTCAGTCAATAGAAGAAACAGGCGAAGCGTTGATTTAAGAAAAATAACGGTTTAATAGTTTCTTCGTAAACGCTTCAGCTTCATCAGTACCCAACTCATTGCATATACTTAATTCAGAACTACTACGTCCGTTCACAGTGTAGTCACAGTTTTCGAATAGAGGCATACTAACTCAAAAAACATTAGAAAATAATAATTATAATTGTTAACAAATTTGGAAATGACTTGCTAAAAGTTCCGAAACGCTTTTTATAAGCTACCTACTGCTTTTTGCATTGAATTATTTGCTAACTGTTGAGATATAAAGTGCTGGCTTTATAACGACTAATAACTAGTTGCATCGATGGATCGTTAATAGTTGATTAACCTGTAAAATGAGCTGTACCGTTAACTAAACATCATTGCGTGCATTTAAACAGTAATTAAAAAAAAAAATTTTTTCGGATTTTGGTTATTAGCTGCAGGTTAATTTTAGCAAATTTGTACTCCTGTCCTTTTTTAACACAGATTTCTGAGTGATATGGATAGCTTTATCAAATATGTCAACTATTTTAAACATCAACTAGTTTAAACACATTAATCTAAATTGGGCAGTATAAAACTAAATACGCAGAAAATTTTATTCCGAGATATCTTTTTTATCCGTCTAACTTAACATTATTGCCTATCCAGCTTTAAGGCTATTTCTAAGTATTCTCTTGTCGCAAATAAAGTAAACTGTGCTCACACCACTTAATTGCAAGGGGGCCAGCAATAAATAATTGCGTCAAATTAAATTACCCTGACATAAAGGTAGTTTGAGACGAATAAAATTGATTTTCAATAACAGTGCACAATGTTTCTTTCACTTGTCCAGTATTTATTTATTTACTCTCTTTCTGTTGACGATCTGTTTGCTTATTTTAAATAATGTTTATATATTTGAATATTCCGTCGAAATACATGCTGCTAATATCGCAGCTGTCATAAGACGACTGGCACGTATTTCCCTATGTTTCTTTAGTACTGTTTTTAAAATTATCGTCATTTAAAATTCGTTTTTTAATGCTAAAATTGATAGTAAAGGGCTATTCTGTGTATTTTGCGTTGAAGCAAAATTCGTGGTTGTTTTTACAAAATACAGCAAATTGAGCAATTTATTGAAATTTTCAGCAACTCTAATAGATTTCACAGAATCGACCCATTTTTTAATTAATTTTTATGGTTAATGCGGAACTCTTTACAGCTGTAGCCGACCCTGAATATTACAAGACTTTTACTTTAATATTACAGGGACATTATAGGAAAACTATTGACTGTCGAAAAAGTTGCCTGGATTTGGTACGTCCCTGCGAAAACAATAGATCCCGAAAATGTCTTCTTTAATTGAGCGTGAACCAAGAAAAATTTGTAAAAATTCCTCACCGCCACTCATTAGATACTATTTTGTTACTAACACTTACAAAGTTAAAAATTATAAATTGATATTAGACGCTATT